ACCTACTGGATTTTGAGACAATTGTATGAAAGAATTTTTCACTGTAGAATATATAATGCATTAGCATTTTTTCCATCTTAGAGTCTAACTTTTTTGCACAATGTAGGTAATTTCCTTTTTAAATAGTGATAGACTTGCAATAGTGGCGAATATCCGTAGCTCGGGTGTAGGATGAAAGTGGAAGTTCATTCTGCAAGCTTGTGGGTTGGTTTCCAAACATTTCATTACCAGGCTTGGTAACATCTTCAGCCGAATTTAGGGGATGTTAATATCAGTATTCTTCTGCTTATAAGGGTTTGTGATAGGCTTCTCAATTATTTTATGGGCTCCTTCCCCTTCCTATGGATGTGTTGCAGTGTTCCTACGGATGGGAAATATTAAGACTTTCTTCACTGAGAGCTGTTTCAATACATGTTGAAAGGATCAAAATAAAACACTCCACGCTGGAAGGTATTTGAGATTTGTCAGTTCAGCTTATCTTGTCCTCAACCCCCAAATGTTGTAGGATGGCCTTGATGGCCATGGGACTGCCTTTGGAAGCCATCTGCTGCACACTTGTGAATTTGGTTAGCCACTATGAAAATGAGACTGCTGAATTAGATGGGCCCAGGGTCTGATCCAGCAGGCACTGCTTATGTTCTTATGAGATACAGAATGCGGAATACAAATTTGCACTCTACGTGTAAGATTTTGCTCTCTTATTGGAAATTCAATTGAATTTGTTGATTTGAGTAACATCTCATATTCTATCAGCACTTTTATCCTGTCCAATACAGCATGCTATTTATATTAGCTATTAAACATGATCAAATACTAAGTTCCACTGCAAGTCTAGAATTAAAAGCTATCAAACCTAACATGTGGAACTATATTTTAGATACTGCAGAAAATAATTGAACTCAGAGGAATTTGTGGGATTTATTAGGACTTTGATCCTAATAAAGAGGTTTGGCTCTAGTCAAGCAAACTTCATTATTAGAGTGCACAATTAGCCGATGCAGTACAGAATAATAAGTAAACGTTTACTATCGTCACAAAGATGCAGTTTGTATGTGGTGCAATTGCCCACTGCAGTTCAGAACAGTCACTATAAATAACAAGGCAAACTTTATAGGTTGTTATGGAAATACCCATATAATGATATATGTGTGCAAACAAAAACATTCTTGCTTAGAAATGTGTAGGTGACTAACTGTGGATTAGCTAATAGTTTTGTGCTAATAGTTTGAAATCCCATAGGTGAAACTGACTCTATAAGATTGCTTGTATGTATTATTGGGGTCTTTCATTACTTAGCACATCCATGCCTATATATCCAAGACTCTGCAAATTCTCAATAATGTTTTGAACACTTTTAGCCTGTGTCCTGACAGAACAGAGGAAGAGACCCAAACCCAGATGAGAAAAGGGAGAAGGACACTGCAAGTTTTTCTCAGGATAGTTCTCCAATAATAGCAAAATAAGATATCAAATGTGAAATAGGTTTTTTACAGTTTTGAGTAAAATTGGTTTATATGCTTAATGTATAGTTTACAAGTTGTCTATAGCTACAAAATGAGACTGTATGGCACATATTTTTTTTAAAAAAATGTTTTAATAAAACAAACCTCAGAGGACGATCAACTTTAAATAATGCACCTGAATAAATTCTAAACTTCCCTGGATTGAAGTAGGATATTTTCACTCTGACTATCTCGAATGCCTTGAATTCGGTGTATGAAACCTGGAGGTACTAGTACATCCAAATTGCAAAGCCTGGGGTCCTTGAAACATGAGGTCTGTTTTCAACTGCATTCAATTAACCGTTGAATATGCATTTTGTATACTTTATTTCAATTTTTACAGCTAAATTTCATCCATACTATGGAGTTGTATTCACAATGTTAAATGTTACACACATTATCATTAAACACTGTTTTCTTATACAATTCTAAAATGAATATGTATAAATTCATACATACTTGAATAATGCATCCAATTAATAATAATTGAAATTGAAGTAAAAGAGAAATCAGCAAATGAGATGAATTTCACTTTGCTAGTCCAACGTAATATATCTTTCTTTCATGCATTTTTAAAAATTTATTAGATATCTAATGAAAAAGCCACACTGTATATAAAATAGAGTTTTTAAATTTAAGAAGAAGGATAATTGTAAGAGTTTATTACATTTTATTTCAGGTTACTGATGTGCCACAAAACATTAACCAATAAACTGATTTTATTTTAGTTACTGAAAGCCTAACTCCTACAGGTTTATTTCTCATGCACCATAATTATAAAAGCAAAAAAAAGAAAGAATACGAAGAAGCAAGCAACAAAAGCTTTCAGACTTTGGTTTCTTTTGAATAAAAATTGGACTGACTGTATTCAGGTTTCAGTGGAAATATGAGTTGCACAATACAAGGAATGCAAACAAAAAACAAAAAAACAAAAAAATAAAACCCCAAACCCTTATCTCCAATTTGCCTGACTGAAAAGATCCTCTGAATTCCAGTAATGTACATTTAGCACACTGATCATTCTGTACATCTATACACTGCCGAGCTCTGTAATTCATCTAAATTATGTGAACCCCTGATTCATGCAAGGCAAGTGAATATGGCCCTAAAGGTACTTTCTGTCATTGTTTCAATTATAGAGCTATGTGGGTAACAGGCTTGGATTTGACAGCAACTGAAGAAAGAGGATATTATATGCATGCCTTCAATCAGCTTTGTATTTGATCCTTAAAGGGAAAATTATGTGAGAGACAGGGGAGGAAAACAACAAACTAAGCAAGATCCCAATTTCAATATAATTTGGAGAAAATAACTGATTTGGGTTGGACATTTTGCCAAAATGGATGACTCAAGGCTTCCAAACAAGAAATGGAAACCAGAAGGATGCCTAAAGCCTTAAAGAAGAACAAATTGGGAAGATATGATTGACTGTAATGTTTCAAAATCAACTATAGCAAAGACAAATTTGGGTGGTTGCCCAGAACACAATTGAATGGTGATGTTCATTTAGATGCTTAATGTTGAAACAAAATAATGCATTTTAACTGTGCTTCACTTTAACATGTAATTGTTAACTCTTTCAAATTCAAAAATATGATCTTGGGGGCTGGAATTGTGCTTGTCCTAGAATGGCAACAAAAGTATAAAAACAGTCTAAATAAAGACAGAGCAGGCAGAAAAAAAGTATTTAATCTAAAACAGAAAATATTTCAGATTTGTAAAACCTTTAGAACCATCTGTGTATCAGTCATCAGTCTTCAGCACAATACCTGATTAAACCTAACTATAAAAGTAATAACTGGGGGGGAACTGTTGGTAATAATTATAAAAGTAATGGGGTATCTGTTGCATACTTGAGGATATATTTTGATTAATATTTGGGTAGCAGACCTATCTGCATCTTCTAAGTCTCAATGGTCATTTCCTTCACTCTGTGACTATAAAATAACTGCCTCCGACATCTGGATGTATTTTCTCTATATACTATTTGTAATTTCTATATGCAATGAGTTTATCTGTCCTTTGGGCTATCTTTAAATTAAGCCATATTCAGTATAACAGTAGCATACAATGTGTGTATATATGAAGTGAAAACTAAGTCATGTGGGTGTTAGGCAGGCTTCTCTCTATTGCTGAAAGTCATATGAAAATTACAAAATATTAGAAACTTTTAAATAATAGTGTGGTAAATGTAACTGATAGCATGGAAAGCATAAAAAATACACTGTGCCAGTATAAAGCAAGGTCCATCCTCAATTTGAATACAGAACCAAAAAAATACTTAGGAGAGAAATGTCTTTCTCTGGCCTTGAACAGTCATTCAAACTGGGCATCAGTCATGTTTCCCTGGGAAGGGTAATCCATAAGCAGAGCCCCTGTTCATTGCTCCTGGCAGGGGCAGACCAAAAGGTTCACCCAGGAGGAACCCAGGCAAGTTCTTAATTGGAAGAGGCATTACTGGGATATCCCAGCTGTTCAGAGCTTTAAAAATCAATACCATAGCTCGGAAATGGATTGGCATTGCAGCTACCGAAGCCTTGGTATAATTTTTGCTCATTCTTAATCCTGTCTCTTGAAAATCTTCTAAGGTTGGATAAGGGCTGTAAGAAGGAAGGAGGGAAAGAGCGGCACAGTACATATTTCTTTCCTCTGTATGATCCACTCCACAGAATTTGCTATGGACTGCCTTTAATAAAAGCACTGAGATGCATTTATTGTGTCTTAGAAAGCAGCACTGCCTTCTAGAATCCGTTTTCACTATTTTCTTTAAAGGAAATCTAGTTATAAAATGGTAACAAAGGGCCACAGGAGGACAGTATAATGCTATACAGATTCCACACAAAAACTCAGATTCAGTTGACTTGACATAAGTAATTGAACTGGATTGGTTTAAGGAAAATATGCTCAAATCTAATAATAAAATTAAATTGCCAAGTAGTCAACTTGCACATTGAATCACATTTCCAAAGAACCAAAATGTCTTCTCCAAGCCTTCTTTTCACTTTTTGTAATCATTTTCCTTTATTAAATATGATGTTGCCAGCCTGAAGCCTGACTACTTAAACAGTCAGCAGTAAATAAATCAATCCTACCCCCCACCTCGTTTTTTCTTTCGCAGAAAAAGTTGCTTTCTATTTACAAAAAAAGTAATCTAATCTGCATAGGTTCTATGGGTTGCATTTGTGTTTAGTTGCAATTATGCTTCTTGTTTCAGTGTAAACTAAAATTTGGACTACAGTCCTCAAAGAATTTATTCCAGTTTAATCCTGTTGAAGTCAGCGGTATTATCTCAGGAAAATTTTAGGACCGCAGCAATAGTTACACAATATGTACAAAACCAGAACTCAGTTGTTGACAATAAGGGCTGTTCTGAATAATTAAGAAAGCCTTGAGATTAGTTGTTTTATTCTGAAATGAAAACAGAATTACCACTTGGCTAATGTTCATACATACCTGGGTATTTTTTAATGTTCTTTTTTGTCTTTCTTTATTCAATAGCTTGTTTGGTTTCTACAAAGGTATCCTCCCTCCAATCTTGGCTGAAACACCCAAAAGAGCAGTAAAGGTATAGTAAGTCAATCTCCATGCTTCTCAAAGAGAGAAAAATTACAACGCTGGGATTACTGTGAGGTCCTTGTTACTCTCTGAGTGTGGTTGCTTACTTGCAGATGTTTTATTATCTGACTAGGTACAATCATGAGTGCGCCACAGTTCAACTCTGAGCTACAAATATTCTCTTCTAACTGGGATTACTATAAGTAAGAAAGTAATTTTACTTCCCTTCCAAAATATCTGTCCAGAAGACCTTAGGAGGGCGTGGGGAAGCCTCTCCAGCTGTGGGTGCAGAGAAATTCTACTGCTGCTAACTAGCAGGCATGTCTCCCTACGTTGTCTCAGGGAAACTCTGCATCTTAAATGTACTGCATGGGCTCCAAATAGGCTTTCCTAGATATGGACAGGTGCAGGGTGTCCATAGGGCATGGTCAAAACAGTCAGTGATAACCACTATGGACATTTTCAGTGATTTGTCACTTAAACAGAAAGCAGAAACTCCATAGCAAATTAAGGGAAGTGTTGAATCCATTGAAAACAAAGCCCTTTCATTTCCATAGCCAGAATAAGAATAAAATGAAGCCAGCCCCTAATCTGGCCACCTCCTCTTCCCTCCAGCACGACCCCCCACAGCTTCTGCTCGGTTTATTCATTTATTTTAGAAAACGTTTAGGACTTTCTTTCTCTGTGCTTATACAGAATCATATTAAAGCAATATAAATGATACAATCCAGACTATTATTTTTTTAAAAAAAAATAAACAGCGCATCAGGGAAATGTCACACTGGGGCTAGATAAATGCAAGATTGTGTCCTCAAATATTGGAATCTGTTGGAAAATAAATGAAGATTTAAGCAACTTTCAATGGAGCTTTGCAACAAACTGCAATGGTGTTGATTGTCTTTGTTTAGAGTTCTGCCTTTCTGTTTCAATTCTTTCTTTCTTTTTTCTCCTCTGCATTTCTTTTAGGGTTTTTTTTTCTTCCTGTGAGTTAGCATTTTATACATATGAAGTTATAATTGGGGTATTTTTTCAGGAGGTTTCCATTTTGCTTTTGGGAGGGGGGGGGATGGAACAATCCTAGATACATTATTGTAAATCTTCAAACTAGTTTATCTTCCTTCCTCTGGGGAAAAATACTATTAGGGAAAACACTGTCAAAAAGGAACACCAAACATTCTTATATTTAATTCAGAGCTAGACCTACAGTATTGAGTAGTTTAACCTTGAGTTAGCATTTTATGCCATTGATTAGCATTCATCCCCCCCCCCTTAAGAATTTCCTTTTATGTTGCAAGTCTTTTGAGGTCTCTCCAACAGTGCCCTTTGAATGATGGCTCTGTAAACATGAGAAGATTTAAACTGGAAATATAAGAGATTATGATGCCTTTAATAATGTAAACTAAACTGCTTAAACCACTTTAAAAGGTATAGAAAGCTGAGTGTCTTGCAGATGCCACACTATATTATTGACAGTAGTAGCCTGATTTTACCTCCTAGAAGAGATGCAACTCAATACCTGGTAGCTTCCTTACATTTCCAGTACTGTTGTTTTGCTAGGCATAGTTTGAAAAAAAATAATAACATGGGGTGCTTGATTTTGATAAATGATAATTTGCATCCATGTGCACAAACATCTCACACATTTTGTGAAAATAAAATATGCTTATAACTAAACCTCTCAGACAGCAACGAGCACATTAAGCTGATACAAACATTTTGTTAACTCTGGACTTAAATTATTGTAGAAAGAAACTTGCTCTGGGAAAAAATTTTCATAGTTTTTTCAGTATTAAATAGTGGCTAAATCATTGGGAAATTTTAGATAGTCCTGTTTTATTAGCAGTTAGTTACTCTTGGAAATAAAGGTCGGGGTTTTCTGATCTCAGAATTTCACATTTGGAGGCTCGGGGAGTGTACCAGATATTCCTTGGAATCGCTTCCACATTTGATACTGTAATTTAAGTTCTATTGTGGTAATTTTGCACAGCTGCATCTCTACCTGCCATTTTCATCTTGGTTACTTTCAGAGAAAAGCTGCCTTGAATTATAGAACTGCTGTGCTGATAAAAGATCATTCAGATAAACAAACAAGCCTGAGTTCCTGTTGAGAAGAAAAATATAATTGTCTATTCCTTTCGTAAATCCATTTGCATGTAAAAATAAAGCCATTATAATTAAGGTAGTATGTCACTTGGACGCCATGTGTCAAAGACAATTTCATTCTGAAGAGTTCACATCCTTTCTCACTGTGTTTGTGCCTCTTTCTGTCTTTCTTCCTCCACCCTCCTAAAAGAAAACTGGTAACTCTGAAGGATGAAAAGCCAAACTTTATAGCCCAGATTTAGTCTGGACTTGAAGAAAAGACATGAACAGTGCCCGTACAATGGTTAACAGATGATCTTGTTGGGTGAATACATCTTTTGCATGTGTTCCCAGACTTTTTTATATTAAGGTTATTGGGACATATGGTAAATACCGGATATCTCCCCCACCCCCATGGAACTTAGATTTACAAGTGTCTTTGCCAGATGAACAGCATTTTTCTTTGGATTTTGTGATGAAAACGCTTTTTAACTTAATAGAACTTTTAGAATTCTTAAGCAATACAAATATTTAGGGATGTTCAGTAAAGTAAACCATAGTATGCCATGCAAGGAAAAATTACTAGGGTTTGTTTGTTTGTTTGGGGTTTTGGGGGACAAATTAAATTTGCACTCAGTTGTTTTCTCCAGTTCAACTCGATATTTGCTTTGGTTTTGTTCAGCTTCAGAAATGTAATAAAAACCAAAATTTCTACATAACCTATTTTTAAAATGAGTTTAGAAAACAACTTTTAAAAAATGTTTGTATTCAAAATAAGACAATGGAAACATGAGGAGCATAAAAATTACATGAAATATATTTCATGAAAATGTAACTGGTTTCTTGTGCCAAGTACTTATAATTACACTTCTTTAATTATTTTTCAACCTGTCTCATCAACCAGCTGATTTTTTGCAATTTTTTCAAATCAACTGTTTACTTCTCCTGAATAATGAACCAAATTTTATACCCACTTTCGCAGGAATAGGCCCCACTGGACTTCAATTCTAAATAAACTAGTCATAGGAAAGTGGGTAGAAAATGTATTAATATTTCTAGACTTCATGCACTACAATTAAGTTAATTAATAGTTATTAATGAATTAGCTGCAATGCACAATGTTTAATGCTGATGAAAAATGTTATGGAACATTTTGTTAATACTTGTATTATATTTCATTCTATAAATATTTTAAAAGTCATTTATTTACCACAAAACCTGCTTGAGCCTCAGACATTTCTGGTGTGTTCATTGAAGTATCAATATTGTTATTAGGCTTCTGAACAAAATAAAATAATTTGCATTCCTTTACAAATGCCCTTAGATGTTCAGCTCAGCCAACCTCCTATTTTTGGAGATGAATTGTTATAACAAATTGAAATAAATAAAAATACATCACCAAGTGCTCTTCTTGCCAATAACCTGCTGATTGATTGGCTACCTCTCTCTTCCCTATGCCTTATTTTCTTTGTCCTTTAATTTTAAAAGTTTTGACTAACAAGTAAATCTGCATCTGGATCTGTGCTGTGGATTTGCATCTGAGGTGCTAACTCTGGAGACTTCTAGCCTGTGTACATTTTACAGAGTTACCAAGATATAGTATTTGGAAAAGATCTGGGGTTTATTTATTTTCATGAGTAGTGGTCTGAAATTCAATGGGAAGGCAAACAGGTGTAATGTGTATAATGCTAATGTCTCAGCAGTAGCCACCTCAAATCTGGAAGTCTTGGATACAAATAGGTGAAAAGAATAGGTGGTTTAGAACAAATCAGCAATTAAGAATCAGTACCAGATCAATATGTGTCTAGTTTTTGCCACTTTTCCCCTTCCATTGCAGCTCCATAATCCCATTCTTTGAAACAGACCATCAACACATAAATAAACCAGAATATCCTTGTAGAATAATCTAGAATGATTTTGAATTGTGTTACTTGCTACAACAGTGATTACATGATACTATTAATTTTATATCAACAGATTTTGCTGGTATATTTTTGTTCATACTAAATAGTAAAAAGAAAAGGTCATATTGTATTTACTAACTGGAATAAATAGAAAAGATTTTTGTACTTTATTAAAAGAAATATTGTTTTTGGAATAAGAAACTAAACACATGAGAGAAGATAGTTTACTCTTTGAAGTAAAGCATGATGAAAAGAGTATAAAGTTTAAAGAGGACAATACTGAGATATGAAACTACTATAAATTTGTCTGGATATTTGCATAATAGCATTCTCTCTCTCTCTCTCTCTCTCTCTCTCTCTCTCTCTCTCTCTCTCTCTCTCTGTGTGTGTGTGTGTGTTTGTGTGTGTCTGTGTGTGTGTGTGTGTGTGTGTACTGTATCTTTCCAATAAATGTTTTAAATGATCTGAGAACATTTGTTTGATTCAGTTTTAATGAAAACCATGTGTGTAACACTAATCATTCAACAACGTGCAACCAAATCAAATCATTCTTTCTTTCCTTAGACTAATAAAGGTAAACAGCTTTCTATGATAAAATCTCTATTCTTGAGTTTTAAATTTCTCCTTATTTACTTTCCAGTTCTTCACCTTTGAACAGTACAAGAAAATACTTGGAAATGTTTCTCTATCACCAGCTTTGGTAAGTGATAGTTTGCAATTCAGAACATACAAATACATATAATCTAATACATTACATAGCATGCTGTCTTCAAATTAGATAAGACAGGGGAGATAGGAAGAAAAGCAAAGTTAAACTAAATGAGATACCAATGCTCCAGATACTAATACATTATTTTATTCATATATAAACAGATTAGTATGTGCATGTGTGTGGCCATAGCAGGCAAAGTTTGCATTGCAAAGATGCAATGTTGTTTTTGTCATTTTGATAGACACTTTCCAATCCTTCCTATGTAGTGAAGAAAGAGCAGATATTTTTTCTGTTGGCAACGCCTTTAGTTTTGGGACGAGACTTTTCAGATGGCTCCTAGTTGTACAGGAAGCTCTAATATTCTGTACAAATGGAGCCTTTGCTCTCGCCAGCCTGGATTTCAGTATAATTGTTTATGTGAACAAGGAAGGCAAATCACAGTCCACAGGAAACATGCAGCCTCCTGATCCATTGGAGCATCTCCAAAACCTGTTGAAATCATTCTGCTGAATTTTTTGTAGAAAAGTTAAGAAGAAGAAGAAGAAGAAGAAGAAGAAGAAGAAGAAGAAGAAGAAGAAGAAGAAGAAGAAGAAGAAGAAGAAGAAGAAGAAGAAGAAGAAGAAGAAGAAGAAGAAGAAGAAGAAAAGGATGCAATTTCTGACACAAAGAGAGGGAGGGAAGAGAGAAAAGGAAAGAAAGGAAAAAGAAAAGAATCCAGCTCCAGCTATGCTGGTAATCCTGCTTCAACTGATTAGTAAAAAGTAGTGAAATTATTAGTAAAAAGTCATGAAATTATTTCCCTTCCCTCTGTGACCCTTGGGAAGAAAATCTGCTTTAAAATTTTTGGATAGTATGAATGTTAACAAATTCTAGAAAGTTGGCTGCTCAGCCATCAATCCATATAGCTGACTCTTAAATTGTTAGAAAAATGCAATTGGAAGAGGCAATTATCAATAAATCCTGATCATCTGGAAAATATTTTTTTTAGTTAAGGAAACTAGGCATATTTGCTGGATTTTTGTCTCTTTCGGGGAAATTTTGTGACAAGCATAAGAAGTATGTCATAATACTTGTGTATCATATAAACTGGAAAACTACTAAAATGTACATTAACAGCCAATGGAAATGAAGGTTTTAATGAAATGGACATGATCATTTTTTAACATATTGTGTTTAACTACCATATTACTATTACATCACTATAATTGTCTCTGACTCATGAAAGATCCCCTCTCATACTCCCTTTATTGGACTTCCATATTTTCCAAAGAACACAAAGTACGTAAACTATTAAAGATTCTGCATAGCTTTTTAACAAAAAAAATGGTAATTCATCTTGCAGATGTATGTACTAGGATAAGATTCTCAGTATACTCTGAATGAGTAATACAGTGGCTCATTGAGTTTCATAGGTTACAGCATATTTATAAAGCCATGGCAGAGGGAAATGGCAAGAGGCGTTCTGTATGAAGGGTTTGGAAGAAAAATATGTCCATGTCAGGCAGAACCTCTACAGATCTCACATACTTGATTGCTAAGCAGAGGGGATGTACAGTCTGTAATACCCATCAGTGAATAGTTTCAGTCCAACAGGCAGTTACTGGATTAGGAATGCTTAATGCAAGGCATGTTCAACCTGTAATCCACATGCTGGATCTTCATATCTGTATGATCAGATTGCACAGAGAGTTCCAAACCCACTGCAGAATGAACTTGGCCAATTTGCAATTATCATGCCTTATAAATTGTCTATGATACTGTAATTGGGCAAAGGAAAAGTACACTTGTTTGGGTTCTGGGCAGCATGGAAAATTGAAAAATATACTATTGTCTATTTAGATGATATCATCATTTTCAACAGCACTTGGCAAGAATATCTAGAACACCTGCATAAAGTATTAAGTGTTTGCAAGGAAAATAACTTACTGTTGTATTGCCCAACTCCCCATGGGCCCAACTGAAAGTAAGGTATCACAGCTTTAAAGTAGCTCAAAGAATCTTTAGAACACAAATTGACAAGGTGGAAGCAATTCACAAATCGGTTCAACCCGGAAACAAAACAATAGTCTAAAGGGATAATAGGCTGGCATAGATGATTATACCTAAGTTGTCATATATTGTTGCTCTTTTAACTGAACTCACTCAGAGGACAACCTTACAAAACCTCTTGACTCAAGGAACTTAAGAAGATATTTCAAAATTTTAAATTGACTGTGAAACTCCAATGTTCAAAAAGTTGAATTTTTCTCAAGGGTTTCAACTGAAGTAAGCACTAAAAGAGGACCCTCAGGAAAAGAAGGCCTTTTCGCATACATTAGGGGAGAATTGATTCCACACATGATATAGTATTCAGCCAAACAACAAGCATGTCATCAAATAGTCCTCAAAATCCTTACTTCTGAAGGGGAAGCACTTCAAGATATTCCCCAATCCTCACTCTTAGAAATGGTTAGGATCAATGTCCTTCATGGAAGATTACCACTGCAGATTGACATTTACAAATAGTCAGACATTAAGTGGATAAAAAGGCCCCCAATCACTCCAATTCCGTTAAGAGCTGGCGGTTCTGTATTCCAATAAAAGAACTAAATTTCAAAGTTTCCTATAAAGAGCTATCTGGGCTTAAAGGAGGGGGTGGTAAAGTGAAGGGAAACATCTGATTCCTGAGAAGTAATTCCAGGCCTTGCTCCAACCAGAAGCAACCCAACCTAGTAAGTCATCTAGGGACCAATTGATCACAAGCCTCACTCACCCCTTTCCACAGATGGAATTGCCAATTAGCATGAAAAGTTTGGAGGTGCATACAATATTCCATCTCCCATATAACCCTTCCTAGTGCATTGTCTACCTATCCAATGTTGATAAAGTAGAAGAAGCTCTGCTTTGAGATTTCTCTGAGTGTGAGTGTCTTGGAGGAGTCTGGTTTATGCTGCTTGTTCTATGTTGGACTAACCATAGATGACTATAAGTCTGAATCATGACTGTTCAGAAAAAAAATATAGATCATGTACAGCAGCGGCCCCTAACCTTTTGGGCAACAGTTCCATGGAGTGAGGTTTTTCTGTGGACCAGAGGGGGCATGGTTTCATGTACTGCCTGCATCCCGCAGGTGGGGCTTTGCTTGTTTGCACGGACCAGTTTCTGGCATGCCACAGACTGGTGCCGGTTCATAGACCAGGGGTCAGGGACCCCTGATGTACAGCATCTTATTCAATATGTAGAATAATGTTGTGAGATTATTCTGAGGAATTTATAAATTGCAAAACCCCACAGATGCTATGCAACTTTGCCCAGACTACATTGTCCTTCGTAGTAGTAAGGTATACTCCCAGATAATGTTGATGTTTAGTTTTGAGCCAAATTTACATTTAATTATTTCCGCCTATATATTGCAATTTCCCCATTTTTCTCTTTCTGGCTCACTTACAAAGTTTTGGGCATTTCCCAAAATGATCCTTATTTCAGGTTTCTACTTATTCTAGAAGATACAAAGATTACAAAAGTCTTGTGCTGCTTTATACGTTTTAAGCACCATTTCAATCTGTGCTGGACTTTTGGTGAATATTATTTATATTGGTAAAAGTGTATTTTGGGAATGTTTATGTGTGTCCAGAATCCTAAGTGGAGGGTGTGGGATGTGTGTCTTGAAGCCACAATCACACTGCACTTTCAGTACCTTATAGCTATTGAATCCAAAGAAATATTTCTCTGGAATAATTATTCAGTATATTTTGTGATGTGCATGTGTGTGTGAATACAGGTAGTACTGGACTTACAACCACAACTGGGGCCACTTCCAGTTTCCATTGCTAAGCAAGGCAGTTGTTAAGTGTGTGGCACCCAATTTTATGAGGCTTTTTTTCCCCATGGTTATTAAGCAAATTACTGCAATTGTTAAATGAATCATGAGGTCATTGACTTTGCTTGATGGCAGCTGGCTGGGAAGGTCACAAATGATGATCACATGATCCCAGGACACTGCAACCATCGTAAGTACATGCTGGTTGGCAAACACCCAAATTTTGATCACATAATTATGGGGAATGCTACAATGGTCGTAAGTGCAAAGACTGGGTATAAGTCACTTTTTTCAGTGTTGTAGTAATGTTAAAAACAGTCACTAAACAAATGGTTGTAAGTCAAGTACTATCTATACATCAGTACAGATAAGCGTCCTTTAAACTATTGTGCAATGTTTTCTGGTCTGCTGTTAAGATATTTTCAGTGCATTGTGTTTTTTTTAGATATCATTGATCAATTTAGACTTTTGATCATTGATTTCTTAAATGGAACATCTGACTCAGTACTACTGAGTCAATTACGTCTTCAGTTGTGAAGTTTATCATGGAGAATTTACTTAAATGAATTGTTTCATTTAATTGGGAATATAGCAACATTATAATATATATTCTTGGCATTAGAATTATTGAGCTAGCTCTTTGTTTTATACGCTTCTTATAAGTGATATAAAGAATTGTTTCTGTGAGTACACGATGTACATAATAATGGGTAAATTAGTCTTGATGCAGCAGTGCTTTCTTCCTAAATGGGAAGTGGATGATATGCTTTTCCCCATATGTATTTCTTAAAACAGTCACAAAGCTTTCTTCCATCTAAAGGAAATGCATTGTTGATAGGACTTTGACATTTTATTTTGAATATTTGGAATGTGGTTTGTGGCTTTTGTGATTTTTTCTGCATGAACTGTCAACATCTAATCAAGGACGAAAGCTGTTTAGGAATGGTATACTACTGCAGAAGAGTTGGTCTCTCCACTTTCATTATATTGGTCAGCTTAATGCTCAGTTTTACAAAGTGATGTAAGGAGATGTTTTACCATAACGCATGAAAACTGATTGATTTAACTCTTTTAGACATTTGCAGTTGCGGGCTTGGGATCCGGGCTAACAGAAGCAGTTGTGGTTAACCCTTTTGAAGTAGTCAAGGTTAGCCTCCAGGCAAATCGGGATGCTTTCAAAGAGGTAGAGTAACTGGGTTTTTTTTTAATATGTTGGGGAATGGAATTGTTGAATTATATGTATATATCTTCATTAAGCTCTGGGGAGGGAGAATTTCTCGAGTTGGTTAAAAATAAATGATGATCCCAGTATAAGTGTCTCATCAAATACCTGGCAAAGCTAACCATATATATGATAGAATATACTGGAGAGGAAATGTTTTAAGAATTAGTCCTGAACTTAAGATTATCTTATACTATAATAAAAAAATGACTTTCAGGTTCTATCAGAAGAGGGAACCGAAGGGGAAAAAAAGAGGCCTTTTTCCTTCTAACTTACCTTGCCAAGTCCTGTACTGTATTCCACTGAGCTGCTTCAAAATTTTGTGATGGAGTTTCCCAAGCATTCTCAGTATAATAAAAAAATGAATAACTGGAAAGAAGCATTAGAAGTTTAAATGTCATAGCCTCAGTAAGCTACCATATTTCTTGGTGTAGGACAATAGGTGATTCTAACTCTGTCATGTAACCCATTAGTGGATATGAATGTGTGAATTCATCAAAAGGTTCACCTCTGCTGGCCAGTTCCCCTGATTCAATAACAACTGTAGACATAGTGAGAAACATGTATGTTTGGAGGTGGTATCCAGATGCCAGATGTAACAGATTCTTGTGCACTTAATAAGTGTAGCTTCTGTATTATACTAAGCTTTATTCTTATTTGTGGCAACCCAACTTAAGTAGAACCAAACATACATAGTTGATTTCTTCTCCACATATTCATACCAACAGATTTATCCAATAGTCAATCAATAAATTTCTATATATTGAAAAAAGCTCCCTTTCTATAACCCTGTATTCCTGATCACACATAATAACAATCTAGACATTATATATTCAAGCACTGAACTAAACAGAGAGGCAGGTTGGTGTAGTGGTTGGAACCAGTCATTCTCATTCTCTCAGCCCTAGGAAGCTAGTAATGGCAAACCACTTCTGAAATCTTGCCAACAAAACTGCAGGGACTTGCCTAGACAGTTGCCAGGAGTCAATGATGATTATGATCAAAGTACCATTAAAAAAAAGACCCAAAGAATTGAATAGGTTTGAAATGCGCTTTCTATGTGTACTTAAAAGATTGGGAGTTCTCAGCTGAAATTTTTTAGGTGTTTGTTTGTTTGTTTGTTTTGGTCTCTTTAAGTAATAAATATGCCTTCTCACAAACTACTTTTAAGTTTCCTGAATTTTAAATATAAAGCTATGTGACACAGTAAGGAAGGTGAAGACTGTGCCCCATCCTCTTGTGTGTAGAATTCTTATTTGGCATTCTGAAGTAAAAATTTCAGAGATTGCCTTGTCCATCAATGTTCTCTTCATTTAAACCGTATCTAAACATTTTTATTTTATTTTTTCAGATACTGTTCTAATTTCCCCTGTGTTGAAGGTCAAGCTTGCCATATCTATGAGTGATACTCACCTGGGATGAAATGCCCCTTTGGCATGATTACCTTCAGAAATGAGATTTCTCCTTACTCTTACAACAGAGGAGGTAATTAAGTGCCCTCTCTAGTCCATTTTCACTCTTGCAGATAGACTAATAGCAGTTGCATTTTAAAAACTACTCAGAAATATTCCCAGAACAAGTCCCACTGTTTTCTACCAAATTTAATTATTGAAAATATACTCTATTTAGAATTGTAGATTTAGGTGGCAATCTGATAACATGGCACATACCAAAGTAACATACTTAAATAGTTGCGAAGCAATCCTGGTTTAGGAAACAACTTTCCAAAGTAGAACCTTTCCACCTCAGAAGGTCTGCTTTAGAGTACAGATAGCAAGTGCATTCATAATATAGGAACATTCAGAAACTCACAGGGGAACTTCACAACCCCCTTCTGAAACTTCATGATTCTGCTGTTCTTTATGATTTCTCTACAGGGTTCTTAAGTAAATAAACATGGTGTTTGACTTCAAATGCAATAGAAATGAATCGCTCTGTGAACAATAAGTCTTGACATGTTTGAATATGTTCAAGAATTTTCTAAAGGAAAGGAAAGAGAGAAAAGTGGTAGAAAATCCTTTACTAATTTTTTTTAATTTAAAAAAAATTCTAGCAAGGTTTATTGAAGGACATGGTAATTGGCAAGGTAGTTTTGCTGGCTTAATTTTTAGGGTAGCTGCAAAATTCATTTAATAAGAATAAATAATTTAATAAAAGGTAATCCACAAATTTATTGACAAACAAAATGATGAATATACCAAGGGCTTTTCTTCTCTTGCTGAAATCAGAAAAATGAATAGAATAAACCAGACTAGATTAAAATTTGTCAGAAGGATCCTCCTTTAAGTCCATAATTAACTAGTACTGAAAACTCAAATTTATTAGTTCCTGATTCATATGTTTCAAGATGAGCTAAGTAAATAATTATCAATAAGTAAATAATTTCTCAAGCAAATCTCTGCAGCACCCAAATATGATTATAGCAATATAATAATTACTATAATGGGACTGTGTTAATTCCTCTAGGAGTTCAAAACAATATGCTACAAATGTGTTCCCTCTTTCAAATGGATAAGGTAGAGTTGCCCTCAAACTTAGCTTGACTCCTGGTAACTACATAAAGACATCTTTGTAGGTCTCCTGACAGTAATGCAGATGTGGCCTTCCACTACTACCTTCTGGGGTGCATTTTTTATTTCCCAATTTGATCTATAATACATTGGTATTCCCTGGTCATCTTCCATCCAAGCAATAACTGAATCTGACCCTTCTTAGCCTTTTCAAGATACTAAGTCAAAATTAGCAAGGTGATGCCAGCTCCTGTTACTCTTCCAAATAGCGATAGCTTGAATTGAGAGTGTCTGTTTTAATTCATGGTTCAACTAATGGTGAGCTTCCATAACTGAGTCGAAGTCTCCTCTCTCTAGGCCAGGAGTAGGCAACCTTGGCTCTTTTATGACTCATGGACTTCAACTCCCAGAATTCCTGAGCCAGCATGGCTCAGCTTGGAAACCTCTCCATTTCCCTTCAGCATGGCTAGTTCAGGAATTCTGGGAGTTGAAGTCCACGAGTCATAAAAGAGCCAAGGTTGCCTATCCCTGCTCTAGGCCTAGTCAACAGATATTCACTTCTTTACATTGGTTTTTACCAGACCAAGTTATAAATATCCGGCAAACTTATGTAAATAAAAATGAAGCAATATATTAAAAGACTACCCAACCTGACTGTCACCTGAATAAGCACAAACCAGATGACTTTAATATGGCAAGATTCATTTGGGTGATTTATTTTGATGACATTTTGTCATCAAACAAATGAATACATGACATTAGCATAGTTTAAAGAACTGTAGTCAAAATGGTCTTTATTTCCCTGTATAAGCATCTTTGTGACAGTCTTGTTTTGCCTTTCTAATTAAATATTTGATTACACAAATATAACTTTAGTAAACAGCAAAATTAAGCAAATAAAACCTTGATAGAAAAAAAATAATTTGGGGCTAAACAATTATGAAAAATCTTCCACACTAATGCATTGGCTAGGGTTGGAATTTTGAAAACTTAAGGACCTAGGAATTCTAAGTATTTATCAGTATGATGCATAAACCTTCTAGCTGGGGAAATGCAGGAAACAATATGCAGGCAGCCATATGTGGATTTACAAAGAAGTCTCTAGATTAGAGATCCCAGCTTGCATAGCAATATGTGCATACTTAGAGTAAACCTGGGCTTTGGCCGCGCATGATGCATTAGCCAAAATATGCCCAAACCGAGCTTTATTGTTTTTACTGTTAGCAGGAATGCTACATGGAGCACAAGAACAACTGGGCTTGTAACTGAATCCCTGCTGAACCTTGTTCCAAAAGTACTTTTTCCAAAAGGCAACTGGATTTTTTTGTTGTTTTCCTTTGAAAACGTTTTCACTTCTCATCCAAGAAGTTTCTTCAGTTTTTGGATGAGAAGGAAAACTTTTCAAAGGGAAAAACAAGAAAAAAAAACATGTATGTTAAATAGGATGGATTAAAGAAGGAAATGAATGAAAGTCACACAGATAAGTTGTCTGTCTGTGAAATTAAGAGAAAGAGGAAGGAAGTTTTTAAAAAGAGGCTGGACAGCCATTTGTCCGAAATGGTATAGGGTTACCTGCCTGCGCAGGGGATTGGACTTGATGACCTCCAAGGTCTCTTCCAACATTATTATTACTATTATTGTTATTATTGTTATTATTATTATTATTATTATTATTATGGTTTTGCTTTGCCAAATATACAGGGAAGTGAAGGTATAGGTTTAAGAAAAAAGCTAAACTGTATATCAGAAAGTGTGAATTGGTTCATCTAGATTATTTTGGATATATATGAAATCATAATCCTCTGACTCGTGATATTCAATGTTACAGTCCATTAAACATTACTAAAAGAACAAAAGATGAAGTTGGTAAAAAACTGTGCAAAATCTGGATAAATTACATCAAGGAGGAAAAATATTAGGAATTCAAAATGAAAAACTGAAAATTAGAAAGCAAAGAAAAAATGATGGAGCCATTCAGAGACCCAAAAATGAATGAGGATGGTATTAGTTAAGCAGAACCAGTGCTTTTTTGTTTAAAAAAAAAGGTGCCAGAACTCACACACGTCATACAACCCGCCTTGCCTACCCTACAAGGTTCCATCCAAAAAAAGGTGCCAGAACTCTGTTCTGGGCGTTCTATGACAAAAAAAGCCCTGAGCAGAACTGCTTAGAAAAAGTTCTGTTTGTTTTGAACATGAGCATAAATCTATTTATATGTACATCTGGGGAAGGAATGAATAAAAAACATGATTGATTTTATTGCTCATGATGAAGGATTAAAATAATGAGTGAAAAATACAAGGATGAATAGAGGTTCTGAATGTGAGACAGATTTAGAAAGATTTATTCTGGAGAGATCGAGATTCAAGTCTGTTCCCAGATAAGGAAACTCACTTGAGTGATTGAAGCCAGCTCTGGACACTATTGAAATATTTATAGAGAAGTTTTGTCTTTTGCTTTATTTGTATAGCAACCCTCCACCTTTGCTAAAGCTCACCAAATTATCCAGGCCAATGGGTGGGGTTTGAGTGGACTCAATAAAGGGCTGACTGCTACTTTGGGACGTCATGGAGTTTTTAATATGGTGTATTTTGGATTCTACTTCAACGTGAAAAACATCATTCCTGCCAATAAGGTATGTGTATTACTTTAAACTCTTTCACTGACCTGAGATATGGCTATTGTTCCAACTTTTTTCGAACAGTTGAAAAAACTGAGAATACTACAGGTGACACCCAATTCCTTCCATAACTTCAATTTTTCCAAATCTGGCCTATGGACCTTCCAAAGGGAATAATAATGCTCTCATGTCTTACATCTAAACCCAAGATCCTTGTGGCTCTTACCCTACTTCCTTTAAGAAAACCTGAAAGTCTGACCTTTCCCCCAGGCACTGGACCAAGATGTGATTTGAATCCACCATTTGAACTGATTTCTTTTTTCTCCGAACATGATCATTTTTTACTTATTCTTGTACTGGCTGTTATTATTTCTTTTAACCTCCTGTAAACCTCTCAAGGCCATCAGCAAGTGAGCAGCCTTGAAAATTGAAATTATAATGATAAAAAACATGTTCAAGACATTTAGTTGACTTTGCTTGGAAGTACAGTGTTGACCTAAGAGGGCAAATGGCTTGTCTTAAGGCTACAGAGTGCATATGTGACAGAGGTGGGCTTTTAAAAAAAACCAAAACTGCAGTATAGTATTACATAAGATAAGTTAATGTACCTGTGAACAAATGGACTTTATCGGAGCCGACAAATAGTTCACCAAGCAAATGTTAGTGTTTGAACTCCAAACACCCTTTAACTTGTATTTGCCCTTTAACCTATAATTGCACTGTGTTATATTTACTAGAAGAATATATCTATCAGAATAATGAAACTGTTGCTATGCTCACAAAGGAACATAAACAGGAGGAGACAGGATCTCTATATAGGAAAAGTTGAAAGTAGGCAGTATATGTGATTCTTGAAAACCAGATTTGCACTGAAACTATGTTCCCATAGGATAGGGCATTACAATTTGAGTCCTGGAAATACTAATTCTAGTACTGATAGATTCAGTTGTATATGTCTTTTAGAAGTTAATTGGGACATTATGTATTTCCAAGCCCAAATGCTACTAATATGAAAAATGTATTTGGTTTGAATTTCAAGGTTTGTCCATATTTGTTCAACTTTTGAGAATTGAGGAGCACATCAAATCTGGCATCCTCCTCCATGAGGCTGCTGTAAGACATTTTTCTTTATATGGTGCCTTGCAGTTACTATAGAGTACAACTGTCACAGCTCCAACTAATATGGACAATGTGAGGGCAATGTGAAGCCAATGTGAGTTGGAATCCAACCCATCTGGAAAGACATCAAGTTGGGAAAGATTGCATTGAAAGACCTTCATTCAGCAAATTTCATCATACATTTGAAAGGCACGCAGGGGCTTCTCAGTACTTGCATGGCCCAAAATGGAAAAAGATTTTTTTAAAGTTGTATACTGTAATAGGCTCCACAGCAAATTTAGCATAACAGAATTCACTCACAATTTCCAGTATTCACACACATGAGATTAAAACTTTATTAAAGAAATTTTACCCTCAGTAAGCTAATGTCCTTGGTAGGAAGGCCATCTGAAAAAGTATGAACTGTTGGATTGTGTCAGGACGTGCAGAAAGCTATTGCTTCAAGACTGGCTTGATTGTACAGCTAGTTTCTGAATTTTTCAAAGCAGGGCAAAATTGTAGGCTTTGGACAAAATGTTTTGTACATTCTTCAGCCAATTAGTTTCATGAGTTACTATTGTTCCTAATACGGAAGAGCATAAAAATCTGCTCTGCAGTTCCACTATTGCTGGATTGTTAATAGCAGGAAGCCAGGCCCCCTTGGTACAGCGCATCAGCTACATGCAAAGCTAAATGTAAAAAAAAAAAAAAAAAAAACCTGGAGGGAAAGGCAGCAGACCGAGATTAGCCTTTATTTAATTTAACATTTGGGGGTCCAGTGCACAAATGAGCATTTTAGTAGGCTTCATGGTGGAAGTTGCTGTCATTTGTAAAATATTCTGGCCAATTAGCTAATAGTGTGCTTAGATTTCTCCCGTTTTGATACAGTAATACTAAGTACATTGTGAAGCCCAATTATACAAATCATCCCCATATGCTGTACTGGTCTTGCTTTTATGAACTGTGTTTATAAATCCTGTGTGAGGAAATGTGTACTTCAGCAATTTAGACCATGTGTAAAAACATAGCCAATCGGATTGTCAAGAAAAGGAGCCCTGGCATTGGAAGTCCTAATGCGTTCCACTAGAATAGCAGGAGTGTGTCGTATCATGCAAGCTTTCTGATTAAATGCATATTATTTCATAGTCTTTAACCAATTGAGGTGCTTCTGTTCCTATTTTAACTTGGTTCATTTTATGTCAGTCATTCTTTTCCTTCTCTTCTCTCAGCTATTTTGTTGGTTTGCTTATTTATTTATCCAGGATCCAACACTGGAGTTTCTGAGAAAGTTTGGAATTGGGCTAGCCTCAGGAACAATAGCCTCAATTATTAACATCCCTTTTGATGTTGCAAAGAGTAGGATTCAAGGACCACAGCCCATGCCCGGAGAAATCAAGTACAGGACCTGTTTTGAAACAATGAAAACCGTTTATAAAGAAGAAGGGTAAAGCATTCATTTCAGCAGTAAATATCTAGGACTCTGGCTTGTTCATAAAATCACATTGCAGATTTGCAATATGCAACATTGCAGATTTCATCAGGTCATTAAAAATCTCTCTACATAGTATTTGAATAGCAAACATTTTCAAAGCTTCACAATTCAAAAAGTACATATGAAATTAAAAGAGAATTCTTCTTTGGCCTGAGTTTTCTGAATTTTCATTTACAAATTTCTTATTATATTGTTCTGAAAAGATTCTAGTGTTCTACAGCAAACCATTCAGTTTATACATCTTAGTATCAGTTCGTGCATTGGGGCAAAGGTGGGCTTTTTTTTTTCAGCATCAAGTTAGCCTATATTTAATTGTTTCAATTGTAAATACTAAAAAAATTCTACTTGCCCAAACTGGGATTGAGGAAAGACAGGTTGCCAACAGCGGTCTCCCATGGGTGTTGAAGAACAGACACGTACACGTGGTTTCCTCGGGATGGGAGCCTCGAACAAAGACGAAGCATCCCTTTTATTGTGTTATCAGAAGGCGGGTTTATAAGCACCTGGTGACCACCTTACACCAACCACATTTGTTATGACACAGCATATTAGCATATTACACGTGTTAGCTTTGTTTTGCACACGCTACTATACAGCTGTTGCACACGGCACTAACAAACACCAAAACAACATTCCCTTGCACCGCACGGCACAAACTTGTTTACGCCAATCTATTTTCTCTTCTGACTTCCGCATACCTTGGCCTACTGCAGCTGTGACTCAGCCTAACAGGCCAGATAACCCAATGACTCCAACATCTCCTACTTTTCTGTTTTATTTAAAAAATAAGGAGGTTGCGCTTTATAGGAAGTCATCCTCAGTGTCGCTTGGCAAAGTGAAGGCTGGTTTGGTTAGCAGGGGTTGCTGAACTGCAGTGATAGGTGTAGTTACTAAATTGACCTGTTGGTGGGTGACAGTTCCTGAAGATTACAGTTTATTGCAGAAAGATGGTTCTTCAGGAAATTGCATTATCATATCCTGCTTCCCAGGTGATGGGGCTGACTCCTAGAGTTTGGGTGGGGTATGCAGATCTTCTCTTTTGTCTTCTTGATTGCTCTGGCTCCAACTTTCTGATGGTGTTACATTTGCATCTGTATGGGCCTAGCTCTTGTTTGGGGCAGATAGATTTGGGGCCAGGTTTGGTTTTTAAAAAGTCCTTTTGAGGAAAAATATATTTTTCTGCCCTTTTTAATATTTCCTTCTGGGGGGGCTAACTTAAGTGTGTGTGTAAATATATGACATTAAAATTGATCTGGTCAGGGAGACTTGGTAGGCAAGCTTTTAAACTGTTAAGCAAAAGAAAAAAGAAAAAGAAAAATATGACATTAATGGAGGCAGCAGAAAAAGATCCCTTTAGTGGCTCCCAAAAGGGGAGCTTGCACCCATAAAGTTCTAAAAGTCAGGGCAAAATTTTGTTAGGTGGAAAAGAAATTTATAGTATCCAATATTCTGTGCCAATCATTTTCAAATGTTGGATGTCACCTTTAGCTTCCAGTCAGGTTTGCATACCTCCCAAAATTCTTCACAGCCATGGTTTTCCTTAGTACATGACCACTGGCTGCCCAATTTCAAGGGTTGTTTCCTGCCTTAGCTCTTAATTCAGTGCATCCAGGTTTGTAATGTCCAATATGCCAGTCTATTAAATTTTCTTTAAATTGCACGTAATGAGTTCTAGGAATTCAAATCTGAGCTCAACAGTGCAAAATATTCAGGGCTGAAGTTTGGGATTTTCCCTGTTGCTTCCTTAGTCAGGGCATATGAATTGCAAATCACCTGAGGGGGCCTAGTTCCCTCCCCCTTGGAATCTGTTGGAAGTTGGTCCCACAAAGCTTTGGTGCAATAGAGCAAAAATCAGCCTGGGGGGAACTTTACTAAAGGTAGGTGGAGTGGATAGACTCTGAATGGTGTGAATGGTGTGTGTGTGTGCATATGCAGCTATTTCTACAAAACAGGCAATACAAACATTCTGGAAAAGTTTTCCCTCCCACCAGATAGAAGTCCAAGATGTTCAGTATTTGTTCTGCCACATATTCCCATCTCTCCATTAATACATTCAACTGGCTTGTTACAATACAAATGGGGCAAGAAAGAAAAGTTTACAATGAGTTTCCACCCTCCCCCCACAGTCTTAGTTTTCTCTTCTGAGGCTTCACGTGGCACCACCTTCCTTCTGCAGCTCTCACAGGCAGCTGGGGAAATGGTAGGACTTGGGAAGATGCATGGTGGCTTTTTAGTGGATGGCTGGATTCAAACTCAATCCCATGGCTCAAATGGATGGAGGCAGCATCTGGGTCTGTGTGTTGTGCTTCCAAAGGCTTGGGAGAGGGTTTCAGGGCTGAAAGATACAAGAACAAGGTCTCCCCCCCCCTTTCTGGACAGACTCTACCAGGAGAGGCAGACAAAAGGTTTGGAGAACAAAGAGCAGGAAAAGAATTGGAAGGGGGGTAGTTTGCAGGCAGTTTGAAAATGCTGAAAACTCCAAATAATTTTAAAAGCCTAATATTTTAAGGTGTGCAACTTGCCAAGGGTAGGAGAACATTTATTCTAAAATAGACCACATCATTTTAGAGATTAGAAAATGCTTATTTGTTGCAGAAAAGTTTCATAGTAGCATCACCAATAAGTGATAGGATACGAAAAGTAACTTTAAAAAGTTATTTCCCCATACAAGCAGACTTGAGTTTCGAAAGGCTCTTGTAGATAGACACACAGAGAGAAGGAGGAATACAAACAAACAAACACAATTCTTTTTCTTCACTCTGTTTGTTGGCCAGACAAACAGAGTGAGGTTTTTCCTTTTTGTGGCTTATTTTAAGCAGAATTTCTAGCAGACTTTAAAATCCTTTTTCCTTTGGATTTGAAACAGTTAACAGTCACAGTTTTCCTAATTTAACCCACACAGACATTTTTAGGGATCCTCCTTCGGGCTATGCAAGGCAATTTAGATATACATATTTTAAGAGGAGGATCAAATCCCTTTTAGTGGGAAGCAGCAAATCTTTCCCATTGTTTTTCCTGATTTAATTATTGATGACTTGGTCAATTCCCTAAGTTCTGGGAGGTGCGCAACCTGAGGCTTAGAGAATTCTGTCCCCATACTCACGGTTTTGGGAGGGTGCTTCGTCTAGCTCTGACGACCGGCCCTGAGTTGCAGTGAGCTCTTCCGCTGAGTAAGTAAGAGGATACCAAGAGATGTAATATTTTGGGAGGGTGCTTCGTCTATCCTGACGACCGGCCCTGAGTTGCAGTTTTGGGAGGGTGCTTCGTCTAGCTGACGACCGGCCCTGAGTTGCAGTACCCAGAGACGTGCTCAGAAACTTGAATCACGTCGGGGTCACCATTTGCGGGTTTTCTCGCGCCCAGCGGTCTCCCATGGGTGTTGAAGAACAGACACGTACACGTGGTTTCCTCGGGATGGGAGCCTCGAACAAAGACGAAGCATCCCTTTTATTGTGTTATCAGAAGGCGGGTTTATAAGCACCTGGTGACCACCTTACACCAACCACATTTGTTATGACACAGCATATTAGCATATTACACGTGTTAGCTTTGTTTTGCACACGCTACTATACAGCTGTTGCACACGGCACTAACAAACACCAAAACAACATTCCCTTGCACCGCACGGCACAAACTTGTTTACGCCAATCTATTTTCTCTTCTGACTTCCGCATACCTTGGCCTACTGCAGCTGTGACTCAGCCTAACAGGCCAGATAACCCAATGACTCCAACATTCTGAATTTTCATTTACAAATTTCTTATTATATTGTTCTGAAAAGATTCTAGTGTTCTACAGCAAACCATTCAGTTTATACATCTTAGTATCAGTTCGTGCATTGGGGCAAAGGTGGGCTTTTTTTTTTCAGCATCAAGTTAGCCTATATTTAATTGTTTCAATTGTAAATACTAAAAAAATTCTACTTGCCCAAACTGGGATTGAGGAAAGACAGGTTGCCAACATCTTTCAAAATGGAGAAAAGCATTCAGAGAGTTCTATTAGCTCTCTCTGCAAAGAGGGTTAGTGGAGACCAAGATACAAGAATGTTAGAGGTCACAAGGAAAACTGTGGGTTGAAAAGAACCCGGTTATTTCTGTATGCAAACTATACAGAATGACTAGAAAAAGATGTGTCATATATCAAAGAGTATGGTATCAGACTTCAGAAGAATCAAAGTCATCCTAAGAACTATTTCAGAGAATGCCATTCTTCCTCCCCCTTTTCTAACCTTCTGCAAAATTTTTTAGTAAGTATTCTATCCTAGCCTATAGAGGAATGAGAATGCATCATCTGCTTGTTTAATGAACTGCTATACAACTAATCCGGGACATGATCTTGGTGTTTTCATGGAACAATATAGCACCAGGATTCCAAACTTCATGTATGCAAATAGTCTAAAGGGAGAACTCAATCACAACATAGTTAAAAGTAGAACCATTAGAAGTGTGCATGCTTCAGAAAGGATAGAAAATGCTTTCAACCTTGCATGAAGACAACACTTCCCTACTATTCACTAAAATATTCTGTCAGAAATTCAGTATCTGTTGTCTTTTCAAAGAAGCACATAAGCCAGCTAAGTTCAAGTTTTGTTGCAAGCAGACTGATGGGCAGTTAAGAAAATTGATCAATATAACTAACATTTTTCATTGTTTTTCTACAGATTTCTAGCTTTGTACAAAGGATTGGTTCCCAAGATCATGAGGCTAGGACCAGGTAAATCTTTTCTCATTCATTCTTAATGCTATCATGATCCTATGTATATACAGTTGGTACTCAACTGATTTGAAACTCATCAAATTTGGTACTCAACACATTTTGAAGTAAAATTTTTATCCAAGTACTCATCATTTGTTTGGTACTCATTGCACAAACTAGAGCTTAACAGTGTCAGCTGCCTTGTGACTCACTTATAGGAAAAATGTGTCTGGTATTCATTATTTTTGATACTCATCATGCATTCCAGAACCAATTAACAATGAGTACCAAGGTACCACTGTAGCTTTTTTTATTCAGTAACTTCAAAATCCAAATACATAGATTGATACGTTTCTTATTATATACTATATTATTCTTGTTTTTTGTTTTGTTTTTTTGCTTTCTTTCTCTCCCTCATACTTGCTCACTGCTCAGTCAACAGTAAATTAAGGCAAGAACATAGAAAAAAAAATCTGGTACAAGGACATACCTAAACCAGCTATCCCTACCCTATTTGCTAGATGTCAAAGCAGATTATAGTTTTAATTTATCTTCCTTTTGTTATAGCTAATCTGCAAAATCAAGCTGACATCTTTTGGCAAGTGGTGTCATTAGCCTATTATCTTATTCTAGTTGTTACATAGGCCTTTAATTGTATATACAAAAGTTAATAGGTGGAAATCAGCACACTGAAGGAACAGTGGGAAGTTGAGTGCTGGGATATTTCCATCCAGCACTTCCTCCAAATAGGTGGATTCCCAGGATTCCCTAGTCAACATGGCCATTGGTAAAGGTGCAAATCCACACATTTGAAAGGCACATAGTTGGAAAAGATTGTCTTAGTAAAACTGTTAACGTGGATATATTTATCTGATCCTGAATTTTAAAAATTGATTCACATATTATTTACTCATTTCACAGTTTTGTATACAGATAGTCCTTGCTTAATGATGATAATTAGGACCAGGAGCTGCATCATTGGGAGATGTGTTCATAAATTGAAGAAAAACAAAGCCTCACATGTCTATACCACTTAGCAATAGCAGTTCCAGAAGTCCCAGCTGCCATTACCATCAACTTCCTACTAGCTTCTCTATTGACTTTGCTTGTCAGAAACCAGCAAGGAAGGTTGCAAATCAGAATCATGAGACTGTGGGATTCCGCAACAGCCGTAACTACAAAGAACTGTTATAACCACCACTCATTCAGTGCCATAAGTTCAAACAGCTGCTGTATGAGTGGTCATTAAGCAAGGACCACCTGTGCTCCCCAGATTATGTATCAGCATGCGAAGTTTAAAACCAGAACCAACAAAATTAATTTATTTCTCTCCTATAAATATTCCTATGGTGGTTGACCACTGGGGTCATTAGATTTGATCAGATACACAATGGGAACTGGAATGATCTTCCAAGGATAATAAACTTCCAGTTCCTTGATGAACACAAGGAAACTATTACCACCTTCTAATAAACACAAAATGTTTTTCTCTTTGTGTTGACTTACTAGCTAATGAACTTCATATACAAAGGTGTAAACTTAAAAAGGTCTATCAGAGTGTTTCATTTGAAATACCTTTTAGAGGTGAAGTATACAAAATAGTTTCTCCTAATATTTTTACAATAGAGATTCCCTTCATAAAAAGTTTATTCTGTCCATGAAGCAACTAATAGACATACCTAATTTTTCCCATGAGGGAAATTCACCCAATCTGTTGTAAAATGACAGTTGGATGAACTTGGCCTTAGACTCAGTGAAGATATTTAAGAGAGTTTTGCTCCATTTGGATGGCTTCTTTCTCATAGTACACATTGTGTGTATTATACATATTGTGTGTACAAAGTTCTGCACCAAAAATGTTATATGTGTGGAACTGAAAAGGAAAACATGAAAACCTACCTGATTTTCCATCAAAAATATTCATGGTTCAGGTAAGCATAGAAAAATTGCCTTTTGTATTTTAGTTTTTAAAATAGGATTCTAATATTACATAATCTAATGTTCTGCATTCATTAAATTCCCATCAAGCTGTCTGCTACTGCAAGACCCAAACTTTTCTTTATTTATATATAATTTCAACTGATTGGTATAGAAAAATCAGAATTCCTTCCATGATGTGTTACTTCTTAAATTTTGTATTCCAAAAAATTCTTTCTTTTCTAGGTGGTGCGGTGATGCTGCTGGTTTATGAATATGTTTACGGGTGGCTTCAAGAAAACTGGTGACCAGAAGTACTAATTTCAGACTGAAAATAATGTAAAACAATTCCTATCAAATAAAAAATATGTGCATCAGCATTTATAAGCTTAGAAAAGAAAGGGAGAGTTGTACAATGGTGCAAAATGAATGGCTTTGGTTATGAAAGGCCTAATACTACCATATTTTTCCATGTATGAGACACTATTTTTTCCTGCAAACACCCTGTTCAAAAATCAGGTGCGTCTTATACACAGAAAAATAATGGTAACCTCCGCAGCCCAGGGCATGCCTGTGTGCATTGCCATGCTGCCTGGTACAGGTGTCAAGCCCCTGTGGTCTTGCCACTAATGGGAGGGGGGAGGGGGCAAGATCGTCGGCCACCGAACTTTCAGATCAGCGTGGAGAAACTCGCCTGCCAGAGCATCTTATACAAGGGTGCGTCTTATAGATGGAAAAATATGGTAAATATTCTTCAGGAAAAAAAGTTAATATTATATTTCAACCCAGATGCAAATACCTATCCCATTAAGTAAAAGCTACAAAAGGAATGTTTTAAAAGAATATAATGTATGTCTATCAAGCAAATTAAAAGTGTTAATTTGAACAATTTCACGTTGACTGATTGATAGAAAAAAATCTATTGTTTAAGATGCATGCCCAAAAACCAGACTAGACTGTAAGTTCTAGTCTCACAGGCATGAAAGCCTTTAGCCAATGATTTTAGATGACTTTAGGCCACTCACTCTGTCTCAGCCTATTTCACCTCACAGGGTTATTGTTATGGAGAAAATAGGAGGAGAAAGGAGTAGTATGTTAGTCACCTTGAGTTATTTATAAAAATAACAAAGGTAGGATATAAACAAACATTTTCATAACAACTGAAATCTTGATTTTAGAGTCCACTCTTATATTCAGATTCATGAAAGGTGAGGAGAGTTAAACTCATAACTGAGTCCCACTAAATTTAATTGGAATTGCTATCATGTCTGATGAAGTAAACAACTCATGATAGGACTATCAGATCTGGGCTTCAAAAATTCAGATGACCACTAAATAGCACCAAATAGTTGGATGCTGTTGTACTTGTCCAAATACTTGCAACTCTCTTATTGACTGTAAAAATCACAGGTAATGCAATGTCACACTCTTGAGAAAGAAGTTTTAATATTAAGTATGCCCTCCTTACAGATTATTGTATTACATGCTGCTTGGAGCTGCTATTGAAAATTACTCCAAAAATTGACCTGACAAACTAATGATTCTCATCCTTCTTGAAGCTGGACAGTCAAATAATGTATTCCATTCAGTCTGCATCAACTGTGCTGATTGTCAGTTCATGTTTTACTCAATTTGAAATACTTCATGCTTTAAAACTCTAAACAACATTACCATTCAGTATTTTTTTTAAAATTGAAAGACCTGCTTACTGCCTCACCATTATGGCCTTTAAAGTTAACAGGCATTAGAGAGAGGTGCTTCTTAGGGTAGCCCATACCCTTCAAATATCCTCTTTACATACAACAGTCTGGCTATGAAAACGATTCTACTATCCTATGGCTTCTGGTTTTAAGGTTTTTAATATTTGCTCTCATCAAATATTTGAAGCTGCATTTTGTTTTCCATTTGTTATGTCATATTACTGATTTATAATGCAAACTGTATTCAAAAGACTATGAAATATAGATTTAAAAAACTAGTTCTCAAAATTTCAAAGAAAAGGGAGAATTATAACTGAATTCTTTTTTTAAAAATAGTATTTTTATAATTATGTTTGAGGCATATTATGTGCAAGACAATGGAGATATCCTACTCTTTTTAAAAATATTTGTATTGACATAAGCATGACATAAGCATTACCTAGATTATATTATACTGGCTTTTTAAAAAAGTTCTTAGGTGGTTAATGTCAACAAAATGTTTTGTTATGTAGTACCTGTTTCAAATATAGGAATTAAAAGTCTTCAGAGGATATCTGATATTTCTCTATTATTATTTTTTTTGTTAATTTAGCATGTTCAAAATTCAAAAATAAAATATCTTTACATATATAGCTTTTTGCTGTACCTTGTTTCCAACATGTTGTTAAGTATATTTTCAACCACATCTTGCAGTAAAATAAAATCATTTGATAGTACCTCCAGCCCCAAATGTTACTTTTAATGATTAGAAAAACTTGTTTTTCTGCCTGGCCTATAGCTTTTGCAGAATGTGATGGAAAAACACTAGTATTAATCATGCTGTTTAGATATAAGTCTAACTTCTTTCAATAGGATGACTTTTTATATAATTATATATTTTTTAAAATTATCATTAAAAAATAAAACATGCAAACTAAAAGAAATAAAGCATAAAATAAAAAATTCTGCAGAAAATAAAAATAAGAATATAGTAAAGAAAAAGGAAAGAAATCATCTCAACGTGTAAAAGTTTTAGTAACATCATCATTTCTTACATCTCTTATCTATAAACAAATCCTTAAAAAACTCATTGTTCAGTACTTGTCAGCAAATGAACATTAAGGATTACTAGAGAGAATAACATATCTATTGTATCTTTGATCAACTAAAACATCTTTATATTTTATATTTCCTTTTACTTTTAACGATCTTGATCTTTAATCATTTCAAATGTCATTTTAATGTCCCAGAACTTGATTTCTGTTCATTTTTTATTTGTTCTTTTCCACAAAATTCTTCAAAGCTTTAAAAAGCTTCTTTTTATAACCAATATCTAGGTCATTCTCTTTGTTTGTTATTTGTATATCCCTTCAATTACCAAGACATCAGCTAGCTTTTTTATATAGCATGGCACCTTTTTTCCACATTTTTCTTGTAGTTTGTCATTTTTAAATCCACTTTCAGATCAGTTTTAGTCTTATCCAGTAAAGTTTATTCCTGTTCCATTACATCCTTTAAACTCTAAAGGCAAACGCTCTTATAATTAACTTCATTATATCCAGTGTTAAGATATTTTTCCATTATGTATCAATAAGCCAGTTTAAATGTTCTTCTCCTTTAATTGTAATCTTTAGCTCCTTTTGCTTCCCTCTAATGTCCAAGTTTCATCCTATCTTGTTTTTAAAAAGAATTTAAAACAAAAACATTTTTCCACAGGAAGGATTATTAAAATTAATTCAAAATTCTTATTTCAAATCTATAAGGACCCTTAGTCTATTTGTATCTTTTCAAAAATTCTAACCACCCTTTTGCTGTTTATTCCAAAACTTGTATTTCAAGCTTTGTTGGCTAATGATTGAAGGAAACTTACCTGGGACTATAAAAGCTGTCAATCCAAAGATTCATATACCCAGGGTCTGTACAAATGAAAATCATAGTTTGAACAAAGATGACTCTCCCTCATCTCCCACAGCTCCAAATTGGCAAGAGATGGCTGTTTTGCAATCTCCTTGCAAGGAGCAGCTGTATGGAACACTTGTGGGTGATTTCAAGTCCACTCCTTCTCCTAAAAGGGATTACAAAGAGCCAGTCTACTTGCCAGCTCTTTATTCTGACAAGGTCATTGAATCCAGTTTCAATGGAGTCATCTTCAGTTCACCATTTCTTCCCCAGAAGTTCCTTTCAATAGGATTTCTTATTGGGTAAGCATCCCAATCAAAGTCATATATTTTGTGACTGGAAAAACAACTGTTCTAAAATCAGTGGTAAAGAGAACTATCAGTAGTGGTTCTTTTCAACCAACTATTGACGTAGTATCTCATCATATTCTTTATTGCAGGCAGGAGACATAAGATTTTAGGAATTAGGTATTAACAAATTAGGGTGCAGCCAAGAAAGTCCCTGTAGCCATCCCCATTTCTATCCTCAAGTAGGAAAACATGTAGATGAATTCTATTTCTATTGTGGCAAGCATGACTGAAGGGTGACATGTGATAAAGGGTTAAAGTGTGAATCAGAAAGTATAAATTGATTCATCTAGTTTGCTTTAGATATGTATGCAATCAGAATCCATTGACTGATAATATTCCATGTTACATGCCAATACATGTTGCTAAGAGAAAAACAAGATATGAACTTGTGAGAAAATGTGCAAACTCTGGATAATGCTACCAAGGAGAGAAACTATGTTAGGTGACATGAATGGTAGGAATGAAAATGAGAAAGTGAGAAAAAAATGATGGGGTCATTCAGGCACTTAAAAATGAATGCAATAATACTATGGTTTCTATGGTTTGACACTGGGAAGGTGACATGTGGGAAGTAGTATTAAAATTCATGGACACATACACTACACCAGGGGTGTCAAACTGCCGGCCCACGGGCCGGTTTCATCATACCAGCCGTGCCCACCCCATTGCCAGCAATGGCAAAAAAGCTCCAATACGTTGCACGACATCATGTGACATCGCGAGTTTGACATGTCTGCACTACACACATTTTCCATGTCAACCTGATCTCAGTCTTTCTGCAGTTGCAGAAAATAAGTTCCTTGAAACTACAAGTGGTCCTAGTAAACAGATATGTAGGTCCAGCTGAAAAAAAATCTGTTCCCTGCCTATTCAACAAGGTTTAGATAAATGCCCACATGTTTTTGCATCATGAACTTGTGCCAGATTTGAGTCTTAATTATTTCAGAGAGCTTTAAAATGTCATACATGTAACAATGTTTACCTTTTACCTCCTCTGAAATTACAATTTATATATAGTCCACTTTTCTGAACTAAAAGGATGGTCAATCAAGGCAGGTGTTATCAATGTAAGCCATTCGTCTGGAAAAACTGTGCCAACTAAATCAGTGGGATTTTTTTCAAGGAGGGGTTATAATTTAATGAAACATTTAGAAGCACTCATAGCTATCTGAAAGTAATAGCTCCATTTTTACCCCACAAAAAGTGCTATTATAAATTTAATTTTTGATGTTTCAGAAATGATTGATGGTTGAGTTGTAGTAGGAGCTTTAAATTTTGAACTCACTTGTTTTTTCCTTCCCTCTTGAGATTACTTTTATTAAATTCAAAAGTGGTTCTGGAGGTTGAACTTTAGCTTTTATCATTCCTGAATGTTGAGCATCTTAATTGGGAATGTGAGCTGTGTCCAACATTATCTGCAGGATCACAAATGCTCCATCCCAATTTAAACCCTTAGTTTAATATGTTCCGCCCCAGACTACTACAACTATAAAAGCCAACTGAACTGCCATAATTAAGCCTTCCACTTTGTCTTCCATCAGCTGATCATTTGCTGTGAATATAGTATCATTTAGCCTATTGATTTGCTCTAGTTACCTGCCAACAACCATAAGGTTATCAAGATTTAATCTTCTATAGAAGAATGTAGCCAATATATACAATGCAATTCATTTACATTTCCTTAATAGATAATTGCTTTAAATATTTTTTTTAGACATGCATCCTGTGAGGGCTGGTTTGTACTAGTATGATAATGGGTTTTTTTGTTTAATCTATAGCCCTTGTTGTTGTTAGTTGCAAAGTCATGCCCGACCCATTGTGACCCCATGGACAACATTCCTTCAGGCCTTCCTGTTCTCTACCAACTTCTGGAGTCCATTTAAGCTCACACCTACTGCTTCAGTGACTCCATCCAGCCACCTCATTCTCTGTCGTCCCCTTCTTCTATTGCCCTCATCTTTCCCAGCATTAGGCTCTTCTCCAGTGAGTCTTTCCTTCTCATTAGGTGGTCAAAGTACTTGAGTTTCAACTTCAGGATCTGGCCTTCTAAAGAGCAGTCAGGGTTGATCTCCTCTAGGACTGACCAGTTTGATCGCCTTGCAGTCCAGGGGACTTGCAGGAGTCTTCTCCAGCACCATAGTTCAAAGGCCTCAATTCTTTTGCACTCAGCCTTTCTTATCGTCCAACTTTCACAGCCATACATTGCAACTGGGAAAACTATGGACTTGACTATACATACTTTTGTTGGCAGGGTGATGTCTCTGCTTTTTAGTATGCTGTCTAGATTTGCCATAGCTTTCTTCCCCAGGAGCAAGCGTCTTTTAATTTCTTGGCTTCAATCCCCATCTGTGGTGATCTTGGAGCCCAGGAAGATAGCCCTTACCACCTAGAATTCTGTGAGCTGTTGATAAGACCTATATGGAATAAGAATTTCTTCCTTTAATTCTGTGAGCTGTTGATAAGACCTATATGGAATAAGAATTTCTTCCTTTGAATATCTTTATGTATAATCATACTGTAAAGAATCTGATGAAAGAACAGCTATGTAGAAGGGTATTTGAACAAAAATAAATTGCATTAAGTCACAGTTATACAGATTCAAACAACCATCATTGGGGTCTTACCACCCCCACCACCTCATTTTATGCTGTAAATATGATAATGATAATATATTCATTTATTAGACTGTTATCTGTTTTTCTTTTAGTTAGATCAGCATATGATCTCCCCCTTTTCTGTTCATTTTTCAAAACAGCATCAAGTCCCAAGTCAGTTTCAAAGCTGAATGATTTGTGACTAAGCCCCAAAACCCAGGTTGCAATTCTATTCTATACTTATTTGATCTACCAAAATTCCACTGAATTCAGTGAGGTTTACTTCTGTGTAGGCACAGGTGACTTTGCACTGTTAAATCACTTTTTTCAACCATGCAGAATGTGCAGGCACATGCTTCTGCCACATGAATCACATCCCTTTATACTTGAATATGAAACTAGATTATTTAAGGTTTCAATTATAACAAAAGAAAAGGAGCTTAGTGGTGTAATACTTGCATAGTCTGTAGAATTCTGAAAGTCCAGTCTCTGAAGGTTGCAGCAAATAATAGACATGACCACTTACTACATGAGGCCTTGAAAAAGTTTTTGCTAGCCGAAGAAAACAGTGTTGGACTAAATGAAGAAATATTTTAAAATCTCAATTCTAGCTAACACTTAACTCTAATAGCTGAAGGTTTCCAGCTGAACATCTGCCTAGTCCTATAGTCAACAGGGACAACTTGAGGCTCAAGATGATTGATACTATAAAGCAGTACTCACTCAACACCATGGGTTACTTGTGCGTGTCTAGTCTTGTTGGGATGAAGAAAATGGACCATTATGACAGAATAGCTACAGCATGAAGTGTTTACATTTAAAGAGAACAAATGAATTCTTGAGGGATCATTTGAGAGGCCTCCATGATACAACAGCTTTGCCCCACTTGTGAGA